GATCACAGATCTCTTTTTCAAGGGAAGCCTGGGCCTGAAGGCAACTATTGTACATGTTTTTGTGGGGTGGGGGGAAACTGGAGTACCTGGAAAAAAAAACCACTTCATGATTGATATAGCGTCTTTGTCAACTACCTTTGTCCAAATATGAAGCGTTAATGTCCTGTTTCCTGGTGCTGCCATGTTGTATGTTTTGTAACCAGAGTATGCCCATTCAAGATTTGGGGCTGCTCATCTATTGATGCATTTTAACCCTTTAAGCCCACAAGATTTTAGAAGATTTCCTTCAGTTCTCTTGTCGGCCCTGTACCGGGCCCAACGGGGCTTTTAAAGCATCTACTTACGAAAACAACCAAATATCCTGCAAAAGTGAATATTTGAACAAACAGGAGCAAGGTAAGAACTAAATTCAACAGAAGTTGGCATATAAACAAAGTGGTTATGGAATATAATGCCGTAACCAACCTAGAGGATACACTTATGATAATTTTGTCCTTAACATCTCTTTGACTATGTGTAATATGTGTCAATAATGGTTAGTAGATAAATTGAAACAATACTGGTACATTTGGGTTCGAAGCATTCTCCTATTGCTCAAAATTGAACCCAGTATGCTCTTTTTTATAATAACAATATATATTTTTTAATAATAGCAAAACCAAAACATAAACATAACAATTAATGTCAACAACACAACACGAAATACCTTACATTGCTAGAGGGTATGCCAAAGAGGAGGGGTTTTGGCTTATGAATAACTTCAAACAGCTTAGAGATGCTGCTTTACTGACTTTATTTTTCAATTTAATCGTAAAAAAATAAAGGCAGTTGCGCAAATAAAGTGTAAACAAAAATGTTTATCTCATGACGATGGTATTGATTTGCTACCCATGTTTATTTTGGTATCGATACTATTGATGTTTAGATCAATACACCCAACCCTAGGCCAAACCAGAAGCAACTCTTAAAAAAATCTAACTAATAGCAAAAGACACGTATCAATATATGATCATGCCATTTACGTATGTTAGAGCGCAGTAGCCATCATAACCAAGGCTGAGGAGAGGGAAGCTGTGCAGGCTGAACCTCACCAATAGTTTGATGCTTTGGTTGTCTTCTACGGTAAAAAAAAAAAAAAGTCTAGTGGAGGCAGGGGTCAGGAACAGGGAAAGCAAGCAAAAGTGGAGCAGAGTGCTTATTGAATAGCTTCTGTGTCACAAAGATAATGACTTTGGAAATCCAACACCACCTGCTTCCCTTGGAGTGCACTGAATGTACACCTTCACATTGGGTCTTTAGCTGGAAAGTTTGCATCCTGCTCTTTAACTGCTCGAACCTGATAAGGTTGATATACTGGTRGTTCTATTTTTAACACAAACAAAACCTGGGATAGTTTGAGGATGGCTTAACAGTATTAAAAGTTGATTCTACACAACTCCAACAGRTTCCCTTGTAAAATCATTTACTTGAAAATATGAAATAAAGAAATATTTCCTCTTGCCTTGATGTCTGGATCAGAGAAGATGGGACATTGTTGCCACCATCTGCAGCAGGTTTCCTAATGATGCTGTTCTGCTTTAAAAGCCTCATACAAATATAGTTTAGCTGATTTGTCAGGCCGCATATTAGGACCATCTAGCAAATCAAGGTATATTACTGTGAAGACAGCCTTTTAAGTGCTCCAGAGCATTTCCTCCCTCAGGCTCTGGGTAATTTATGATAGCATCCCCAATAACACAAAGGAAGATTTGTGCGAGACAGGATTTGACCCGATCATATAAAAGAGCTCCATTTGATTTGATGCTCTTAAGAACACAGATGTGTGTGAACTCTGTGTGTGTGCGCCTTTGTGTGTAAGTATGTGCCCTGTGTGTGTGTGTGTGTGTGTGTGTGTGTGCGTGTGCGTGCGTGCGTGCGTGCGTGCGTGCGTGCGTGC